GTTGCCACTCTATAACTGTAATTTTGCTACTGTTATGAATAATAATGTAAATATCTTTTCATTTTCTGATGGTCTTAGGCGAACCCTGTGAAAGGGTCATTCAACCCCCAAAGGGGTCGCGACCCACAGGTTGAGAACCGCTGCTAGCCCATCCCCAGAGTGTACCATGGCTGCCTGCCGGGGTGGTTCTTCAGAAACTCATTTCTAATCACATTACTTTTGTGTTTAAAGTCCCCACTAGTTTTCATTTCACACACAAGTCCAAATCCCTTACGCAGACCCTTCAGGATTTGGCCCCTGACCATCTTTTTACTCCATTTTCCTCCACCCTGTGACTCAGGTTTACTATCCCAGCAGCCTAGCTGAGCCACATGCCCTCTGCCCTCTTCTGGCTTCCCTCTGCCTTGCTGTGGCCAAGTGCCCCTCAGAGATGCACCTTTATCACATCTGCCAATGCCCACTCCCTTTAGGACCAGAGTGCCCAGTCCCAGGGGTTGGCTGCCTCCTCTGAGCTCACCCTCATCTGTCCATTTGTCTGTCACTGCACTTGTCAAGCTGCACATGAGGGATTTAGCTGCCCAGTCTTCTGACTCCCACCTGTGTAACCCAGGTCAGGGAGGGTCCAGACTCAGATGCTCAGAGTGCTGTGCTCCATCACACTCTGCTTAGTCCCTGCCATGTGGCCACCACAGGCTTATTGCAGAGGTCACAGGGCATTGTTTGCTAACAAATGGAATAAATGAGTGATAACCCCATCATCCCAACCCAGTAACCTGTTTCATTATTTTGCCTGTTTTGTACTGTAGTTTTTAGAAACTCAAAGACAGACTGCTATTTCTCCTGGCTGCATTTTACCTGGTTAGACTTGATCCAGCGGCTGAGACTTGTCAGCCCTCCATAGGCTCTGAGTCTGTCATGGCAAACTTCTGTCTCAGCCTGTGTCTTGATGGGGGCAAAGCCTGGCACCCAGGGTGGTGGGCAGATGAAAGAACATGAGAAAAGGTCCTGACTCTGCTCAGAGCCCCCTATGGGACCTCCAACAATCCACTTAGAGGTCTCGACCCCAGCTTCCCTGTAATGTTTAAGTAAGGA